TTATTTCTTGAAAGAAAGTCTCACTCTGTCATCCAGGCTGGAGTGCAGTGGTGTGATCTCAGCTCACTGCAGCCTCCGCCTCCCAAATAGCTGGATTTACAGGCATGTGCCACCACATCTGGCTAATTTTCAACAGGAGGGACACTTTAAAAAGGAAGGTTTGGCCAGCCACGGTGGCTCACGCCTGTAATCCCAGCACTTTGGGAGGCCAAGGCGGGTGGATCACAAGGTCAAGAGATTGAGACCATCCTGGTCAACATGGTGAAACCCCGTCTCTACTAATAATACAAAAAATTAGCTGGGCGTGGTGGCGCATGCCTGTAATCCCAGCTACTCGGGAGGCTGAGGCAGGAGAATTGCCTGAACCCAGGAGGCGGAGGTTGTGGTGAGCCGAGATCGCGCCATTGCACTCCAGCCTGGGTAACAAGAGCGAAACTCTGTCTCAAAAAATAAATAAATAAATAAATAAAAATAAAAAGGAAGGTTTTAGCCTGGCCTGGTAGCTCACGCCTGTCATCCCAGCACTTTGGGAGGCCAAGACAGGCAGATCACCTGAGGTCAGGAATTTGAGACCAGCCTGGACAACATGGTGAAACCCCATCTCTACTAAAAATACAAAAATTAGCCAGACCATGGTGGCACATGCCTGTAATCCAAGCTACTCAGGAGGCTGAGGCAGGAGAATCACTTAAACCCGGGAGGCAGAGGTTGCAGTGAGCCAAGATTGCACCACTGCATTCTGGCCTGGGCATGGGTCACATTCAGGAACAGAGTGTCAAGAGAAGTAAGCAAGTCACAGAAGTATATATGATTAGGATTTCATTTATATAAAAACAAAAACAGACAAAGCTAAGTAATACACAGTTTACAGTGTGGTAAAACCATCCAGAATTTAGGTTGATGTTCCCCCTGGGTGGAAGAGAAGGGCTCTTAGTGAGGAAGGACATCCAGGGGGCTTCAGTGGTGCCAGTAATACTCAATTTCTTAGGCTCAGTGGTGAGTGCATAGGCATCTGGGTTTTGTTGTTGTTGCTTTAGTTTTTTTTTTTCTCTAAACCCTATGTGTACATTTCACATACTTTTACAGACACAGGATGAAAATCATCTAGCCATTGCATCATAAATTTCCCCACAGTGATAAATGTTCCCTCTTCACATAGACTGGGCTGTTGGAATATCTATTTGTGCAGCCAGTTTTCTGAAAGAGGAAAAGCCAAATTCTTCATTGGTATTTGCTTGGTATCTGCTTGGTATCTGCTTGGTATTTGCTTGGTACCTTGGTTTACCCCAAGGGCTCATCCTCCTTTGTTGGGCTTCCAGGGATGCAGAGCTCAATCAAAGGCAGAACCAAACTGCAGTCTTCCTGGTTTGGGGGCAGTAATGGGAAACTTCCTCTTATCCTGGGTTTTCATACTTCTAGAATGGAGAAGGAAAGACAGAACTCATACACTAAGGACACTAAGGATGGCACAAAGAGTCAGGGAGATCACCTCAGGAGTTGGCTGCCCTGACCCCCGTAAATCCCTGCAAAGGCATGGCCCTCAGTCCATATAGTCTGACAGTCAAGAGTCCAGAGCAGATACCAGAAGGATTACCGCATCAAGTGGATTAGGTTCTCAGAGACCAGAGCGCTGGTACTGGGTCACTCAGTAAGTCACTTCACTTATCTCATGTGTGCTCTGAGAATAATGACGGAGTTACTGCTCACAGAGCCAGACTGAGGGGCAGCTGCAATCACAGGACAGTACTGAAATCAGATCCTGTGTAGTAAGACCTTGCCTTGGGTCATGCCCCATAATGAGTGCTTTTCCAGCACTATCTTGTGAATTTGTCTTCCTCTTTTCCATTTTGTTTTGAGGCTTCAGAGTCTAGTGGGAGAGGAAATGCTAGAGATGACCTCCCTCATCCACCTCTTTCCCGTCTTCCTGGTGAGTAGATGGAATGTGCCAGCTTCTCCAATCTGTGCTTTTTTTCTGGAAGCTTTGGAAGAATATTGAGATTTGTCCAGGAGCCCTTTTGAGTGGGACTGGACTTGTTACTGAAAAGGTTCACTTCAGAGGTACAAGGTGGAGGGGTACCCAGGACAGGGAAGGGTGCAGGTACTAAGCACTCACCAGTAGGAGCAGTTTCTACCTCATGACAGTTGTAGAGCCCTCTTATCTCTGGAAACAGTAAATAGAGTCATCTGCTGGCAGGAGTTGGTGTGGTTGTGGTTTTAGGAGAGTGTTGAAGGTCTGGGATGAGCTCTGGGGCTGGTGGAAGGAGGTGGAAGACAGCAGTGAACGAGCTATGGGGTAGCACTGTGGCCTGTTGTGGTTGAGGGAGCAGAGAAGGCACATCGTCAGATTCACCACAGCTGGGCTTTTGGACAGGGAAGAATTGAAAGGAAAAAGGAGAGAACTGAAGGCACCAGCATGGTACAGCATCTTTGGCATCAGACAAACCTGTGTTCTATACATAGCTCCATCACCATGTATAGAAGTAATGCTTGATTTTGGGGGAAATCTCTCTAAGCTTGAGTTTTCTCATCTGTCCTATGAGCAAAAACAATACCACCTCTTAAAATTGTGAAAACAGAAACTTATAATTAATGCATGCGTGGCACTTAGTAAGTACTGCGTGAAACCTGTTCCCATTCTTTTCTTTTAACAGAACAGAGATTTAAAGGTAAGTCCTGTCCCGCGGGATCTGCCCATCTTCCTACAGGACAGCTAAAAGAGGGATGTGGTGCTGGTGTCAGGGAGTAGCTGCTGAGTTGGAGATTTCAGAAGTCATGATATTCTGGGTGCAGCTTTACTGCTCTAAGAAGGAATGGGAGTGTTGGCATTGGAAGGGAAGACTGAGCACATTCAGAGCAATTTGAAATATGGCATGGTCAGGAGGGCAGTGGGTGTGAGCAGCAGAGGGAGGCTTGTGTCTCTAGGGGAATGAAAGTATCATGCTGAGGTGGCAGGAGAATGGCCTGGGAGCAGCATGGAGGAACCTTGGGGTTGGTTCCTCAGGATGAAGCTGAGGCATGAGTAGAAAGGCCCTTCTTTTCCAGAGTGCCTCAGGAAAAGGCAATGTGCTCGGAAAGCCAGGCTACTTATTAGAGGGTAGAGGGTTCCGCAGCTTGAACCTGGATAGTGGCTGGCTGTGGCTGCCCCAGATAGTAAGGACTGGGCATCTGGTTCTTCCATGAGAGGCAGGTGCCAGTTCTTCTTGTATCTAAAAACTGCCTCCTTATCCCTTCACTTCTCCCATCCCCTGTGAATACGTACTAACTAAGCCCCTCCCTTCCTTCTGAAACCCGACCTCCTCAGGAAGCCTTCAAAGTTTGCAGTCTCCAGATTCCTCACCCAGGATGCAAAGGCAGCCCTCAGGCTTCTGGCCTTTGCTATTCTTGTCATTCCAACCTCCAGAGCTTTGAACTGCTCTTCTGGAGCTACAACTCAAGGAATCAGTCCCACTTATTTGTCTCTTGGCCTTTACCTTGACAGTGAGGTCTCAGTGACAATAAACTCAACCCTGTGCCTTGAGCTTTAAGAGCTATTTCATCTCCTCTCTGTATGTGGAAACATTGAAAGAAAAGCTGTTACAGGAATAGAAGATTCAGCTTGGACCAGCCCCAGAGAGCAGCTTCACCTAGGAGGAGTCTTATGGGTGCTCTGGATGCTTCTCTTGTGTCTCCAAAGCAAGCCCAGGCCCTGCATTAATCTTTGTCATCTTAGTTGTCCAACTTTTCCATGGTCTGCTCCCTAGGGCCTATATTGAGCTGCTCTATATGACCTTGACCATCCATCTAAGGACAGCTCTCCTTAGACCTGAATCCTTGTTCCAAGGAACCCATGTCGATGTTCACCTGCCACCCATCTTGCTTTTGTGAGCCACAGAAGTGCAGGCCCCTAGAGTCTGTAGAACCTTCTCATTACCTAACTGAAATGTTCCATTGCTGGGCACAGGGATCTTAAGCTCCCTTCACCAGTCTTCACCTAAGACCCTAGTGCTCCTTCTTGGGCGCTATGTGAGAGACATGGTCTCTTTAGCGCTGAGCCAGCTTCTGGCAAAGCAGAAGAAAGGAAAATCTGTAAACTCAGTAATGGAGCACATAGACTCAAAGTCTTTTAGTGTGTTTCCCTGGAAGATACCCATAAGGGAATGTGAATTTTGCTTCTCCCCATTAGCTGATAGTTTATTTACTTGTTTTTCTAATTCTTATGCAAAGACTGCATCTGATGCCTCATTTCCCTCTGAGGCTCTGGGAGGTTGCTTTGGCTTCCTCAGAGCACAGAGCTAAGCATACAAATCACATAACATAATTGCTAGATACTGGCCTCTAGTTACCTCTCTGCTGTGCAAGAGAACATTGGAATCTCACCTCCAGCATCCAGCCGTGCTAGTCTGACCAACACTCTTTTCCTTCCAGGGAATGTTCATTTCTTCTCTAGTGGCCTTCTGTTTTCTCACTGTCGTCATGGAAGTATCATCATTTCCAAGGATCACATGAATTCCATTTCCTTCTATGATGGGGTAGGTGTTTTACTAGTCAGTGGCTTTTTTGGTTGGAAAGTTGCTCATACTTTTGAGGGGAAAACCAAATAACTCCTGTCTCCCCTCCACTACCACAGAGCAGTATATCAAGAACCAGCACTGCCACTGAAGCAGGCAGGGAGGGAGGTCATGGAGAGGCCTGGGCACTCTCGGAACACTCATGAGCCTTGTCAGCCTCACTGCTCTGTAAAGGGCTTACCTAAAAAGAGCTCCCCATGCCCAATTTATTCAACCTAAAGAGGACTAGAAAGCAGGCTGAGAAGGTCTCCAGTGGCCCCTCTTGGGTGACCTCTAGGCCCAGGGACCCAAGGCTCACCCACTGAAAAATCAGAAAGGAGCTGCATCCTGTGGTATTGATGAGGCTCCACATATGCATTAGCATGGACAGGATTGTAAGTGAGCCAGAGAGGGAGAGAAATGGCTCACTTTCCCCATGAGAGTTTAGCCCCACCTCCCTTACACACCCAGACTTCCTCTCCAGCTCCATAAAAGTTCCACCCACTCGTCGGCGCTGTCATGGCGGGTGTGCTGAAGAAGACCAGTGGCCTTGTGGGATTGGCTGTGTGCAACACTCCACACGAGAGGCTGAGAATATTGTACACAAAGATTCTTGATGTTCTTGAGGATATCCCTAAAAATGCAGCTTATAGAAAATATACAGAACAGATTATAAATGAGAAGCTGGCTATGGTTAAAACGGAACCAGATGTTCAAAAATTAGAAGACCAGCTTCAAGGTGGTCAATTAGAAGAGGTGATTCTTCAGGCTGAACATGAACTAAGTCTGGCAAGAAAAATGGTGCAGTGGAAAACATGGGAGCCATTAGAAGAAGAACCTCCTGCCGATCAGTGGAAATGGCCAATATAATTATTAAGTGATTTTGGTGGGTTGATGGGAAACTGATGTAATTAAATATTCTATTCTATTAAGAGCATGTTCATTGACATAATCAAGAAAACTGATATAGAAAATATCTAGGAAACTTAAAATTAGTGATTATGGTAATTCGGTCATGTGAATCCATTTTTGATTTGTAAAGTAGTCACACAAATTATTTCAAAGATATTTCTATGAACAGAGACGTCATGGGAAGATTTGAGAATTAATTAGAAAAATTCCTACAGATCTTCAGTATAGAGGCCATAATCAAAAAGTAAAGTTTCTTTAGTAGTATGTTCAATATATCATTCATTTTAAAAAATTATCCTGAAGAAGAAAAGAAAAGGTCCTTAGTTATTATGGTGTAAACAAATTTATAGATCACTGTTTAGAAAATGAGTGATATTTTCAAATGTGATAAAATAGCACAAATGACTGGTAATAAAATTTGAAATTATGGTTAACCTCCTTAACTGTGATCTTACGGATGTAAAGTAAAATTTAAATATATAGTTATATATTGATTACAAAATCCATAATGCCATTTTGTTTTAGTCATTATTTGAATTATACCATTTACTCTGTTTTCTTAGTCTTAATTTTATTACATTTTGTTGTTACTATATTTGAAAACCATCAAATTAGAATACGTTGTACAGTTGAAGAAATTGACTTGGTACTTGAAAGAAATATTTTCCACTGCATAGAGGTACTTGGAAAAACTTTTCCTTTTGTTGTATTTGTGTAAGTTAGCTTTCTGGCCCATAGCCTTTTAATTTTTTAATCAACCTAATTACATCAGGATAGAGGTAGAATTTCTGTAAAAGAAGAGACATTAAGAGTTCCTGAAATTTATATCTGGCAAATGGGTAGGCTTATATTCAAAACATCTTAGTCATACGGCTATAAATTCAAAGTGGAATCACTAAGTAGTTTGCAGTACGTTTCTAATATAAGTGTAGGTGGGTATCAAAACAAGACAAATGCTGTTCAGGGAAAGAAGTTGGCAAGGTTAAATTTAAACAAAAATAAAATTACATGTGTTTTTGCCTTTTAAAAAAAAAAAAAAAGTTCCACCCTCCTAGAACAATCCTCTAAGTTCACCAGTCTGCACCAACACTTCCGCTTCACCTTAAGGGGAAGAGGGTAGCCACGCGTTTCCCCTCGCCTTTACCCTCTGGCCAAGGTACAGCTTGTCTCAGTGTAGCACCAGATTAGAGGGCAGGCCCTCCACTCTGCCTGGTCTCAGCCTCAAAACCAGTCTGTCTGGGAGCTAGGACAGAGACTATGTGAGGTATTTTGGTCAGATGGCTCAGAAAACAAATTCTGTGGCTGCAGGCTCTATTTTCTTCCATATAGAGCCTGCGGCCTTAAAGGCTGTTCAGAAATGTAGGCAGACCAACTGGACACATTAGATGGCTCTATTAGATTAAAGCTTTACCGTTTAGTTAAAGAGTCTTCCAACATCAAGGAAGGAAGGATACATCATGAAAACCGCAGTACTGGGATGATAAGTTAGCTAATTTAGACAAAAAATAGTCCCTTACCTCTACCAAAAGCAAAATGAACTTCTGATGGATTAAAATTAAATATCTTTAAATTTCACAAATAGAAAGAATATCAAAATGAATATTTATTAAACCTGTAGGGGTTGGAAGACTTTCTAAGCTTAGAAAGAATGACCAGTTAATGATTTTTAAAAATTTTTTGCTGATAATTTAACTTATTGAAGTATGCTGCAAATACAACTAACTGTATCCATTTAAAGCTTTGGCAGATGTATACATTCATGAAACCACCTTTACAATCAAACCGAAATGTTTCCTCATGCCCTTTTGTAGTTCATCTTTCCCTCCGCTCCTGGGTTCAGGCAACCACTGATTAGCTTTTGTCACTGAATATTAGTTTGCATTTTCTAAAATGTTATATAAATGAACGTCATCCATTCTGTACCCTTTGAGTCTGGCATTTTCCACTCAGCATAGTGATTTTTAGATTCATCCATGTTGTGTATGTTAATAGTTAGTTCTGGGCCCGGCACGGTGGCTCATGCCTATAATCCCAGCACTTTGGGAGGCCGAGGCGGGTGGATCACGAGGTCAAGAAATCAAGACCATCCTGGTCAACAAGGTGAAACCCTCTGTCTACTGAAAATAAAAAAATTAGCTGGACATGGTGGCACGCGCCTGTAGTCCCAGCTACTTGGGAGGCTGAGGCAGGAGAATTGCTTGAACCCAGGAGGCGGAGGTTGCGGTGAGCCGAGATCGTGCCATTGCACTCCAGTCTGGGTAAACAACAGCGAAACTCCATCTCAAAAAAAAAAAAATAGCTTAGTTCTCTTTATTGCTAAATAGTATTCTATTGTATGGGTACAGCATAAAATTTATCAAACTAATTTGTAATACGAAATCCTTTAAAATGTATTTCAGGGGATGGGGAGGGTTTGATCAATAGATACAAAGTTAGAGAAGATAAGTAGGTTGTAGTGTTCTGTTGCACAGTAGGGTGCCTGCAGTCAACAGTAAGGTGTTGTAGATCTCAAAATAGAAGAGAAAGAGAAGATTCTGAATGGTAAATGTTTGTCGTGATGGATTTCTCATTTCCCAGATTTGATCATTACATGATGTATACATGTATTGAAACAACCCATTATAACCCATAAATATGTGCATATGTGTCAATTAAAAATAAAAAAAATTTTTTTATGGCGGGGGCAATGGCTTATGCCTGTAATCACAGCACTTTGGGAGGCTGGGCCAGGTGGATCACCTGAGGTCAGGAGTTCAAGACCAGCCTGGCCAACATGGTGAAACCCCGTCTCTACTAAAAACACAAAAATTAACTGGGCATGGTGGCTTATGCCTGTAGTCCTAGCTACTCAAGAGGCTGAGGCAGGAGAATCGCATGAACCTGGGAGGCAGAGGTTGCAGTGAGCCAAGATTGCGCCACTGCTCTCCAGCCTGGGCTATGGAGTGAGACTGTCTCAAAAATATATATAATAATAATAATAATAATGATAATTTTTTAAAAGTATTTCAGACCGTGTGTGGTAGCTCACACCTGTAATCCCAGCACTGTGAGAGGCTAAGGCGGGTGGATCATGAGGTTAAGAGATCTAGATCATCCTGGCCAACATGGTGAAACCCCATCTCTACTAAAAATTAAAAAATTAGCTGGGCATGGTGGCACATGCCTGTAGTCCCAGCTACTCGGAGGCTGAGGAAGGAGAATCACTTGAACCCGGGAGGCAGAAGTTGCAGTGGGCCAAGATTGTGCCACTGAACTCCCTCCTGGCAACAGAGCAAGACTCTGTCTCAAAAAAGTATTTCAAAAGGCAAATTTTTAAAACTGGGAAAAACATTTTTGGTGATTTTAACAAATGAGTTAATTTTTTTTTTCTACAAAGAGTTTTATCTTTATTAGCATGTAAACACTGAGTCCCAGGTCAGAGGTATTTAAAGTTTATGAGGCTACTTTAACAGATAGAAGAAATTGCATCAGAAACAGCCTCTTGCTATCACATGTAACAGTAAATTAGCATTTACTGGTTTTTTTTTTTTTTTTGAGACGGAGTTTCGCTCTTGTTACCCAGGCTGGAGTGCAATGGCGTGATCTTGGCTCACTGCAACTCCGCCTCCTGGGTTCAGGCAATTCTCCTGCCTCAGCCTCCTGAGTAGCTGGGATTACAGGCACGCGCCACCATGCTCAGCTAATTTTTTTTTGTATTTTTAGTAGAGACAGGGTTTCACCATGTTGACCAGGATGGTCTTGATCTCTTGACCTTGTGATCCACCTGCCTCGGCTTCCCAAAGTGCTGGGATTACAGGTGTGAGCCACCGCACCTGGCCGCATTTACTGTTAAATAATATACTGTTAAAGTATACTAATTTGTACTAAAGAATAAATGCTGAAAAACTGTTGGCAGAGGAGAACACCACACGTGGTGGCACATGCCTGTAGTCCCAGCTACTCGGGAGGCTGAGGCAGGAGAATCCTTGAATCCAGGAGGCGGAGGTTCCATCAGCCAAGATCACGCCACTGCAGTCCAGCCTGGGCACCAGAGCGAAACTCCATCTCAAACAAAAAGAAAGAGCGAGCTGGGTGCAGCGGCTCATGCCTGTACTCCCAGCACTTTGGGAGGCTGAGGCGGGTGGATCATGAGGTCAAGAGATCGAGACCATCCTAGTCAACATGGTGAAACCCCATCTCTACTAAATACACAAAAAATTATCTGGGCATGGTGGCGCGTGCCTGTAATTCCAGCTACTCAGGAGGCTGAGGCAGGAGAATTGCCTGAACCCAGGAGGCGGAGGTTGCAGTGAGCCTAGATGGCACCATTGCACTCCAGCCTGGGTAACGAGCGAAACTCCGTGTCAAAAAAAAAGAAAGAAAGAAAACAATTCCAGGGCTGGATTCAGTGGCTCAAGCCTGTAATGCCAGCACTTTGGGAGGCCAAGGCAGGCGGATCACTTGAGTCTGGGAGTTTGAGACCAGCCTGGGCAACCTGGTGAAACTCTGTCTCTACAAAAAAGTATTACTATTGTTATTTTTTTTTTTAGATGCAGTCTCGCTTTGTTGCCCAGTCTGGAGTGCACGGCCTCAAAATTTTTTTTTAATTACTGGGGCATGGTGGCACGTGCCTGTAGTCCCAAGCTACTTGACAAGTGAGGTGTGAGGATCGCCTGAGCCCAAGAGGCAGACGTTGCTGTGAACTGTGATCATGCCACAGTGTGCTCTAGCCTGAGCAACAGAGTGAGACTCTGTCTCAAAAAAAAAATTCAATTTACAATAGCATCAAAAAGAGTAAAGTACTAAGGAGTAAATTTAACCAAAAAAGTGCAAGACTTGTGCACTGAAAACTGTAAAATATTGCAGAAAAATTAGACAATCTAAATGAATGGAAAAAAATCCATTTTCATGAATGGATTTAATATTAAGGCAGTACTTCCCAAGGCAATCTACAGATTCAGTGCAGTTTGTATTAAAATCCCAACAGCATTTTTTGCAGATAGAAAAAACGGCCAGGCGGTATGGCTCACGCCTATAATCCCAGCATTTTGAGAGGCTGAGGCGGGTGGATCACTTGAGGTCAGGAATTTGAGACCAACCTGGCTAGCATGGCAAAACCCTATCTCTACTAATAATACAAAAATTAACTGGGCGTGGTGGCACATGCCTGTAATCCCAGCTACTTAGAAGGTTGAGACACAAGAATTGCTTGAACCTGGGAGGCAGAGGTTGCATTGAGCCGAGATTGTGCCACTGCACTCCAGCCTGGGTGACTGAGTGCAACTATGTCTCAAAAAAAAAAAAAAAAAAAAGAAATAGGAAAACCCATCCTAAAGTTAATATAGAATATATAGAATCTCAAGGGTCCCTGATTGTTCAAAACAATCTTGAAAAAGAAAGTTGTAACACATAGGTTTTCTTATTTCAAAACTCCCTCCGAAGCTACAGTGTGGTACTAGCAAAAGGACCAGTAGAATAGACCCACATAGAGCCCAGAAATGAACTTTTGTATAAAATAATTTTTGGCAAGGATGCCAGAACCATTCAGTGTCAAAAGGAAAGTCTTTAACAAATGGTCTGATAGGCCAGTCCCGGGGGCTTATGCCTGTAATCCCAGCACTTTGGGAGGCTGAGGTTGGCAGATCACTTGCGGCTAGGAGTTCAAGACCAACCTGACTAACATGGCAAAACCCCCTCTCTACTAAAAATACAAAAATTAGCTGGGTATGGTGGTGGGCACCTGTAATCCCAGCTTACTTGGGAGGCTGAGGCACGAGAATCACTTGAACCCAGGAGGCGGAGGCCAGTCAGCTAAGATGGCGCCACTGCACTCCAGCCTGGGGACAGTTCCCCTGAGTGGGACCCTGTCTCAAAAAAAAAGAAATGGTGCTGGGTAAACTAGATATCCATTTGCAAAAGAATGAATTTTGATGCTTACTTTATACCCTGTACAAAAAGTTAACTGAAAATGGAATAAAAACATAAATGTTAAGAGCTAAAACAAGATGTAATCCCAGCACTTTGGGAGGCTGAGGCAGGCAGATAACGAAGTCAGGAGTTTGAGACCAGCCTGGCCAACATAGTGAAACCCTGTCTCTACCAAAGATACAAACATTAGCCAGGCATGGTGTCACACGCCTGTAGTCCCAACTACTTGGGAGGCTAAGGCAGGAGAATTGCTTGATCCCAGGAGGCAGAAGTGGCAGCAAGCTGACTCCAGCCTGGGTGACAGAGTGAGACTTTGTCTCCAAAAAAAAGAGCTCAAGCAATGAAATTCTTTCAAGAAAACACAGGGGAAAATCTTTATGACATTGGATTTAGCAATGATTTCTTGGATGTGATACCAAAATCACAGACAGCAAATGAAAAAATACTAAGTTGGACTTCAACAACATTTAAAACTTCTGCATATTAAAGGACATTGTCCAGAGAGTGAAAAGACAATCCTCAGAATGGAAGAAAATATTCAAAAATCATTATCTGATAAGGGATTAATATCGTAGAAGGAATTTTAAGGTGACGTTTTCAGTTTAGGGAAAAAAATCCAGGCTGGGGGTGGTGGCTCACCCCTGTAATCCCAACAATCGGGGAGGCCAAGGTGGGAGGATCACTTGAGACCAGGAGTTTGAGACCAGCCTGGGCAACATAGGGAGACTTTGTCTCTACAAAAAGTTTTTAAAAATTAGGCAGGCATGGTGGCATGTGTTTGTAGTCCCAGCTACCTGGGGAGCTGAGGTAGAAGGATTGCTTGAGCCCGGGAGTTCAAGGCTGCAGTGAGCCATCACACTCTAGCCTGGGTGACAGAGCAAGACCCTGTCTCAAAAAAAAAAAAAAAAAATTCCGCCAGGCACAGTGGCTCACACCTATAATCCTAGCACTTTGGAAGGCTGAGGCAGGTGGATTATGAGGTCTGGAGATTGAGACCAGCCTGGCCAACACAGTAAACCCCATCTGTACTAAGTATACAAAAATTAGCAAGGCATGGTGGCACACGCCTGTAGTCCCAGATACTCTGGAGGCTAAGGGAGGAAAATCACTTGAACCTTGGAGAAGGAGGTTGTGGTGAGCCGAGATCACATCACTGTACTCCAGCCTGGGCAACAGAGTGAGACTCTGTCTCAAAAACAACAAAAATGCTTGTACTTCCTTTATCTCCTATAAATAAATCTTGGAAAGCACATATATACTGAACTCCACTGAACTACATAATGTGACAGTAATTGCACTGAAATTGATCCTGTGTGTTCTGGCAGTAGTTGTGAGTGCTGTAATTGTGCAGATGCCCTTCTTGCTGATGCTCCCTCCTTTTCTCTTTAGGATTCCACCAGTATTGTTGCTGCTCTTCTCATAGACTTCAAGAGCTCATTGCTTCCTCACCTCCCCGTTTATTTCCATGGATCAAGCAATTTTCTGATGATCGCCCTTTTCCCCAAATCGAAGATATACCAAGCATTTTACTCAGAGGTAACATCAGTTATTATTCAGTAATACTGCTACTATTTTTTTTCCCTGTAGTGATTTAAATGGTAAGGCAATGGGACTAACAGTGAAGCGATGAGAGGGAGAGTTAGGAGGGCTGGCTGGTGTGGAGTGACTGCTTGAAATCCCTTCAGGTTCTGGAATGGTGCTGTTGGCAGTGAAGGGTGAGAGCCTAAATAAACTGAACAAAAGGCTTTTTAGCCTTTAAGAAAAATCTACTTTGTCCTTTTTAAATCCTAATTAGACTTATCTCCTATTTAGCTACTTTATTGAATTGTTGGGGCCTACCTACTGAATTAGTGTTCCCTTTGCCACCCTCCTTCTCTGTGGGTCACGGAATTAGTGTGACTCCTTCCTCTACTGAATTAGTGTTCCCTTTGCCACTCTCCTTCCCCATGGGTCACGACCCCTGCCCTTGTGAATGGTACCACCTGGCAGGCTGTACATTATAGGTGCTCCGACAGACTGCACAAGTGAGAGCTTATAAGAATGATACAACCTGGCTGGGCGCGGTGGCTCACGCCCGTAATCCCAGCACTTTGGGAAGCCGAGGCGGGTGGATCACAAGGTCAGGAGATCGAGACCATCCTGGCCAACATGGTGAAACCCCGTCTCTACTAAAAATACAAAAATTAGCTGGGCATGGTGGCACGTGCCTATAATCCCAGCTACTCAGGAGGCTGAGGCAGGAGAATTGCTTGAACCCAGGAGGAGGAGGTTGCAGTGAGCCAAGATTGCGCCACTGCACTCCAGCCTGGCGCCTGGCGACAGAGCAAGACTCTGTCTCAAAAAAAGAATGATAGGACCCGCTGAGAGACCAAGCAGTAGCCAAAGTCAAACTGATGGCCAGCCTCATGATTGTGAGAATTCTTGGAAAGGTGTGATTACAGCAGCTTGTGAGGGGACGGTGTTCCTCTCTCAGATCAGATTTGCAGACCATAGAGGATGCAAGAGTTGACCTTGGCTATAGAATAGCTTCTCAGCCCAGTCTGTGTCTCCCACCTTTGCTGGACCTTCTTACCTCCTTGTGCTTGTCCTTTCAATCTGGGAAAGTAAAGACAAACTTTAGATTCTCTTCAGCCATCCCTCTACCTCTAGGCAGGAGTTACTTGAACCACTTCTGTCTGTCTCCCTAGAGGAGAACATGCCTCTGCGGCCAGCACAGTGTTACCCGACCCCCCTTTCTCCGCGCTTCCTGACCTCTGAAGGAACAGAATCCCTGGGGGAGGAACCCAGAAAGACATTCTGGGTTTAAAAAATACAGAACAAAATTGCTTCAGGCCTCTATTTTTGAAGCAAACTTGTTTGTTATAGTCATTTTCTTTGCACTGATTGTCTAGATTTTCAACAACTATCAAATCCCCATGTGGGTTCCATATCCTGTTGTTGGGTTTAAAGTGTTCTTTGCTCAAATTCTGTTTTGTTTAGGTCTTCTCCCTCTGGCAACAGCAGGATAACTCAGGACTCTCTTTAAAAGTGATCCAGGAAGATGGATTATCTGTGGAACAAAAGAGATTGTAAGTGGCAGCTTCAGTGTTTGTGCTTGTTTCCCTAGGCGTTGTGGGTGTGCTGTCTCTGCAGGATACCTAGCATTATGTAACACAGGGGTCTTGGCTTCTGAAAGGGTCAATGCAGACATTTCAGTGCTGCCAAGTTGCAGGTAGCCAGGGCCCTTGGAGGAATAGAAAGTAAGAGAGGTCCACATGCATTGCCTCATGCTTGTAATCCCAACACTTTGGGAGGCTGAGGCAGGAGGATGGCTTGAGCACAGGAGTTCAAGACCAGCCTGCCTGGACTACACAGTGAGACACCATCCCTACAAAACATAAAAAATTAGCTGGGTATGGTGGCACACGCCTGTAGTCTCAGCCACTCAGGAGGTGGAAGGGTTGCTTGAGCCCAGGAGTTCAAGGTTGCAGTGAACCATGACCATGCCATTGCACTGCAGCCTGAGTGATGGAACAAGACCCTATCTCAGAAAAAAAGGTCCCCGCTGCTGGGAGCCAGTGTGGCTGTACGGGGCTGCATCTCGCAGCCGCCACCCAGGCCAGGCATGGTGTTGGGCTCCGGGCCCACCTCAGCTGTCTCAGGGAACCCAGGGTCTCACTCTGTCACGCAGGGTAGAGTGCAGTGGTGTGGTCCCGGCTCACTGCAGTCTCCACCTCCCAAGCTTAGGTGGTACTCTGACTTCAACATCTTGACAAATTGGGACTTCAGGGTTTGCAGAACTTGAAGCTAATTTACCTTGTACATGTAACATGCATTTTCCTGATCCAAACAAGCTTCACTATTTTCAGCTAACAGTAACCCAGATATGGGTTACCACCAGAGTGGAAAATTTCAGTTTGAAACTGAAGTTCCTGACAACATGGTGCCTCCCAAAGTGAAATGCCTAACCGAGATCTGGCACCCCAACATCACAGAGACGGGAAATATGCCTGAGTTTACTGAGAGAACATTCAATTGACAGCACTGGCTGGGCTCCCATGAGAACATTAAAGGATGTCATTTGGGGTTTAAACTCTTTCTTTCCTGATTTTTTGAATTTTGATGACCCACTGAATATAGAAGCTGCAGAACATCATTTGCAGGACAAGGAGGACTTCCGGAATAAAGTGGACAACTGCATATGCCAGATGATAAAAGGGGAAGATTGCAGGCCCATGGACTGTGTTACAGTTTCTCTCTAATGTGAAATAGCAAGAGGTAGTCCCACCTCCCAACCTCATGCTTCCTCTCGGCCCTCTGGATTGCCCCAGTCCTGTGACCATGTTGCCCTGAAGAAGACCATCTTTATGACTGCTCATTGTAGATGGAGAATTCATCTTAAATACAGCAAGTAAAT